AAGAGTGGTGTGAAGAAGTCGACGCCCAAGACGGTTAAAACCAGTGCCACCAACACTTCCAAGGCATCACCGATACCGAAACCGCAGCAGAAACCGCAGGAGGATGAGCAAACTGCTCAGCGGATCTACGCGATCTTGGACGAGTACGCTGAGCAGCTGAGAAACTCGCCGGATCTCAACAACAAGCCGGCGCCCCGAAGAAGATCGAATCCGCCGACCAATCCGAGCCAGTCGTCGAAGAGGAAAAAGTCGAGCTCGAGCAAGTCGAAGCCGGTGGGACAGCAAACTTCCGAACTGAGCCCCAGCACAGACGATCTCGGCAGGACTATGGGTAGTGAGGATTCGTCGAGCGGCATCGTACATGTGCAGGACAGCCCTGCTGGTTTCTCCGCGCCGGAAGAGCCGTCGGCGAACGTCAGTGTTAGCAGCGTCGCCGCCGAAGCGAGCGCAGAGGTGCGCAATCTGACGAGCGACTCGAACGACGGCGTGGAGCTGAGCGTGAAGCGACGTAATCTTATCTTCACGGAGCCCGGTTCGGGTCAACCACGCACGGTAATCGTTCAAGAAGCACTGCAGCCAGGCTCGGTGAGCGTCAGCGAGGCGTTAGCCTCGGTTACAGGCAAGATGGGTAGCACGTCGGTGCTAATGCCGACCAGCATTGTGCTGCCGCTGGTTAAAGGTGCTCAGCAATTCACCATTGTGTCTGGATCGAAATTGCTCGCAACCATGCCGACAACCATGCGCACCGCCGGTGGCAATACCGCGGTCTCCAATACTCTGGTACTACAATCCTTCCTCAACCAAGGCAAACTAATTTCCGCGCAGCCGCAGGTCAAGCAAATGAAGGTGCAGCCTACTCTGCAAACGCTGTCGAACAACAATCAGACGCTGACCGGCGCGCAGAATATGCAAAATGCGTCCGTCGTGATACCGCAAACCGGAAGCACGCAGTTCGCCGCAGAAACAACGACTGTGACTGCTATGTCGGACAGACCGAAAGTGATCGACGATCTGTTGAAGAATGATGCTGTGACCAGCGCTGGCGGCGCGATCACAGTCGAGTCAGCGGCGACGAACGCCGCTATTGTGGTGAACAAGAGCAATCCCACTATCAGTCTGATTGGAACACGGAACATTAACGAGATGTCGGATAATCAGCAAATATGCGGCGTTATTACCAGCAATCCAACGCTGCAGGGCACGACGAGACTCTTCAACTCGGGTATACACAAATTGTCATCGACATCTACCGGTCTGAAAACGGACAATGTGGTTTGTATCGCACCGGCTGCTGCGATTTCTCATTCACCGGAGAAGAAATCGCCCCAGGACGGCCATACTCACACGGAAAAACCAGTGTCCATACAACCGGGCGCGACGATCGCGCTCACCTTTGCCTCGCAGACCGACGTGAACGCTATGCTAAACGATGCTGGTCAGCAGCAGCAGAAAGATACGAAGGAAGCATCTACCGAAATAACATCCAGTACCAAGATTATTTCCCCGAAGTCTGTAAAGAGAAAATTTGACGATGCTATCGGCATGGAGGAAAACTTATCACCGAGAACTTTGATTGGTACGAACATTACCACGTCGTTACAGAATAATACGAAAATTGGTAAGAATGTATTGCTCAATACATAAGAAATGTTATTTTGCACACTTCACATTTATATTTATGCACATTCATATAATGTACATATAATTTTATCGACTATTTTTGTTGCTAATAGCAGTAAACACATATAAATTATTTTTTTTTATCTTATTAATATTTATTTATTGATACTATAATTAAAGATTTAAAATAAAAAGGAACTGTCGTAACAATAAATTTAAGATCAATTCATACGTATATCTTTTAGCTATTACTTTGGATTTTTATTGATTCTATATTGTATAATATATTCTGCATTTTATTGATGCTGTAAGTTGTTTCATAACTTTATATTTTTAAAATTCTGTGTTATGTAATTGCGTTTTAGTATATAATATACAAAAAAATTACAGTCAACAAATAATATGCATAATTATATTAAAATGAATTATTCTCCTTTTATTTTTTAAGTCTTTAGTGTCAGTTCTTATTTTTTTACTTTTTTATAACAAATATGCTGTAAATTGTTTCATAACTTGATAATATTTTTTAAAATTTTGTGTTGTGTAATTGCATAATATCAAGTGTATAATATACAAAGAATGACAGTCAGCAAATAATATGCATAATTGTATTAAAATGAATTATATTATAAACGGCATATCAAACATTTCTCGCAAACATTGTATGCATCGACAATTAATTTCTTTCATGTCTTTGTCACAGAATCTATGTCTCCTATTACTTCCACGAACAAGCAATCGAGTGTTATCGATAGCACGACACAGTTCTTGGTGACCGGTGGACCAAGTAGTTCAGACAGCCAAGAGTCATCCGTGCAACAATCTACTGAGACAATTGATGGGTCCTGCAAGGTCGGAAATGGGATGCTGTACGAAAATGCACATCTACAGGAGGCATGGGAATCAGAGGGCAAGATCTCACCGGATACGCCATGGCGGTACGTTCCTGCGTCGATGAACACGCTGAGTAACGAGTCGTTGAAAGTATATTCCAGGTAACGATCCGAACTTAAGCATATTGCAAAAAGAGCTTTGACTTTGAATAGTATTTAAGAATCAAAATTTTTGAAATCTTAACAAACTTACAATTTTTATTTGAGCATTATTTGATTCTTAGTTTTCTCTTAGATTTCTTCTATCTTTGTAACGGGAAAATTTGATTAACATTTTACGGTTGATCGAATCGCTTGATGAAAAATTACAAAGAAAGGAATTTAACGAACACGACTGATTTCAGGGACAGCGACAACTCGGAAAGCGTGCTACAGATTATCAACAAGGGTCAAGGCATCGAGATGGCGAGCGGGCAGATCTACCAATCCAACGCGAAGAAGTACTTCATGAATCACACTCTAGACACTCCGTACTCCAACAAGAGCAATTTGATGAAGTCGCAACTGATTCCCAGATTGGATCGTGAATTGATGCAGCAGAGGATAGAGAGAAAGGCTGCAGCGTACGAGCGTGAGCTCAAACTGCAGAAGAGCTTGTCGGAGGAATGCGAGGACCTGGGAGTTGACGAGCCCAGCACTAGCGATTTGTTCCCCGAGGCGGATCTGTTGTTCGATACAAATCACTCGCCGTCTTTTGATCATTCCTCGCAGGACGCGTCTTGTAGCCAATCCTTAGGCATGAAGCCGTACAACAGCTCGTACTTCCGCTCGCTGGATTCTTCAAGCGGCAGTAGAGACGCCAGTCCGACAAGCGATTTCAAGATAAATGAACGCAAAAAGTGTACGAGCCAGCGCGCAAGGGCGTTGAAAGATCCCTTGAAGAGGGGAAAGCGAGAAAATCAAGATTTGCATTTGGATACCCCGGCGAAGCATATACGATTGACCTTGGACAACTTGAGTCAGGACGAGGCGTCGAACAGTAACTCTGACCTTTCCAGGTTGTCGCCGGCAAACCTCGTCTCACTGGACCACGACTCCAAGGATGTGGGCGGTCATCGCGTGAAGCTGATCTCGAGAAGCGGTTCGAAGGAAGGCACGCCCAGCAGCGTGTCCAGCATACCGTCTAACATGAAACTGGACATTGATCTAGACTCGGAGTCGTTGCCGCCCAGCATGAACGTGAATAACACCTCGGCGGCGAGCTCGGGCGACGAAAGTCTAACTTTGTTGAGCGGCAATGCGGGCGATCATCACACCATATCATCGCCGTTGTCACCACTGGCCGCGGCCGGACCGCTGCTGTCTACGCACAAGTACACGTACACCAACAAGAAACGCGTGCCGTCGTCGAAAGTACGCATGGACTCGTATATGACGTGGGGGAGTCCTATGTCCGATCGCACGAGGTCCAGCAGCGACGACGAAGACTCGAGCATCAGCGAGTCGATCGGCAGCCAGCCGGAGGATAACGTTCCATTGAGTAACGGCCTGGAGGATAGTGTACAGACATTGAAATCCTTGTCGTCCGACCGGCATTGCACCTACTTGAAAAAGAAGGACAAACTGCAAGTGAACGCGAGGGTGGTGTTGAATCGCGCCGATCACAAAGCGGCGGCGGCGGCGGCACTTTCCAAGCGATTACCCAAGGCCACAGCGGAGTCGATAGCAGCGTCGGAGTCGATAGTGATGTCGAGTGACAAAGCGTCGGAGGCTTCGGAGGATGAGACGAGCAATATTGTGCTGATAGAGCCAGCGGACTGCCGCGCCCGAAGATCCAGTCTGCGTGGTCACGTGAAGAAGGGTTGCGCATGCTGCAACGGCTCGCCGGAGCGACCGAAGAAGAAGACGACAACGGTGAAATCGACGGATCACAAGCTGAAGAAGCGCTTGTCGTCGAAGCAGCCTAGCAAGAAAAGGTAGTCCTAGCGATTGAACACTCGCGTGAGCGCCGCAACGTGTTATTATATCATTAGGGTATCGTCGTCATCGTTGCTGGTGGCTTTCGAAATGACGACGACGCAAGCGTTTCAGTGTGACCGAAACCGAAGCCGAGGATACATTTCTCTCGCCGAGGAGAACGCGATTCGGACAGTAAACGATCTTGATTGCAGATCGAAAGATGGCATTGTAAATATTACCAGCAGCATGCTTTGACGCGAACTCCACATTGATTCACCACATTGGAAATATTCAGCATCTACATCAGCTGAGAGAAATATTCTCTGTGAGTTAAAATTAACGATAAATCCATTTCGCGTCGATATGCGTGCTCGCGTACGGACGCATGAACACATGTGCGAATGTACGCGAGAAAGAGAGTAGACGGGAGTAATAGGCGTACGATTTATGAATTAGAATTCTCGTCGATAACAGTAGATCATCCTTCTACCATTAGGTGTTAACTACGATATTAGAAGGTACAGGTCATTTATGTATGGCAGACTTAGATTTAAAACGTTAAGGACCGTTTAGCGACGCAATCTAGTCAAGTCGATAAGTTTTCTGGCGAGGAATAGATAACGAGTATGAACAAAGAGCATTAAGGTAAAAAAAAAGAAAAAAATAAGGAAACCGTAACGATCGTTAATAGATCCCTCGCAGAGTAAAGAGAGAGCCTGAATTTATATAATTCAATCTACAGTATGTCTATCATGGCAAAGCTATTCCACGTTGTAACATGGTGTGGTCAGACTGAATAGACAAATAATAATAGAGTTCTTTCTCCGAAGAAATGCTAGGATATAGAATAACGAGGATGTGCAGTCTCTTTGGAATGCATCGTCTTTGCCTTTCGTGTAATGCTTACCTGTATCTGTATAACTCTAACTTTATAGGAGGAAACAAAAAAAAAAAGAATTGTTGCTGTAAATTCTCGGCATTCTGCTCTTAGACAACCCTTAAGGAAAGCAGATTGCTTGATTAATAAAAACGAAATATGCAATTTAAGTGCAACACATGAAGCGTATAAAACGGAGAAAAAAAAGAAGAGAGTGGCAATAATACGTTTTACGCATCATTCTAACAGCTGTCTGTTGTACGGCCCGACCATACCCTGTCATGTAAAAATCCATGATTGTACATTGCATAGATAATTCATTGAAAAGGTATAATATTATATATATCGCTGCACTTTAGTACAAAAACGCTTCACTTTGTTTCAGACGTGGATGACAGGTTTATATCGTATTTCCGTGTGCTGTCGTGAAATGTGTGAATGCCCGCGAATTTTACTATGGACTTACTTTAAACTTGTAAAAGTTTGTGAAAACGGGACGGGCTGAGTGGGAGTATGAGTTTATCCAATATTTCATTGTAATAATTATAATAACTAACTGCGCGTTGTCGGGCGCTGATATCCATTCCAAATTTCTATCCGGCGCGCGATATATATATATACATATAGAAAACTCGTCGATTTGTTCTTTCTCTCTTTTTCTGTTCTCTTTCGATGTTGCAAGAAAAAAAAATGTAGCTTCAGATAATCGAGGTGTAACTGTTCCTGTGAATAGTATCTCATTACGTGATATGAACCAAAGTAAAGACTCTGTCAAGTAGGCGTGGGGGAAACGCGTAATGTACCGATATGAGCGGTGAACAACGTTACACGTGTAGAATATGTAAATTGCAATTAAACTAATCTAAGGAAAAGCTTTGTTCTTTGGAAAGTTATTATATCGATTGAATTAGTTTCGAATAGAATCGAAAGGCTATTTCATGAATTATGATAATTATGAAAATGATGTAGATGAAAAAAGAATTCTATAAGTCCTTTTGTTTCTTTGTTTTATTCTTTATAAAATAATATAATATTATTTTTAGTTTTTTTTTTAACCAACATTGAAATGTTTCTAATTTTTCTCTTTTCTTTTGTTTGCCAATTTAGAGTCGCTATATATGTAAAGTTAATTATGAAAAGTTATATAATTATTTACCGATAATAAGAATATTATTTTGATATAGTTTTGAAGCAAAACTATTTAAAAGCGTTGCAATTTTTCAAATAATATTTTAATATCAATTATAATGTCGTGGGCTTATAAGCAAAAAGCACTAAGTCATCCTTTTTACTTAATCTAATTTTTAAACTTAGTGCTTTTTGCTTGTAAGTCCACGATATATTTAATATATAATAAGTAAAATAATCAATATGTTTCTATTATTATCGTACTTTTTTTTCTTAATTTACACATTCTACACGTATGCGAACACGGCAAATGGAATGGTTAATATTCTATTTTTTTTGTAAGACGTATGTGATAAAAATTACTTTGCTTTATATGTAACTGTTGCAAATAACGTTTTTCTCAGATCTATATCCAGTTAAAGAAGGAGCAAGATTTATTTTATGCTTTTATAATTTTTATAATTTATCTTGATTATCATAATTCTTCTGCAGAAAGGCGTAGAAATGTGAATATTCGGCAAATTATTCAGCAATACGACGATATATAAATATACGTTGAAATGAAAATAGCGTAGATTTCGACTATAGGACATAAATCTTTGATCGAAAGTAAAAAAAAGATTTTGTAATTTCAATGAATACGTGTAATTTTATTAAGTAGTATTTGTGTGTTAATCGGCTATGTGTTGATATTTAACATTTGGTATATCTTTTACCGTTATTAATACAATTTTTACGTGGCCTAGAATTGTATTATTTTCAACGTTTTATATTTATATTTATTATAAATATACATATATATATATATGTGTGTGTGTGTGTGTATGTATATTTATATTATACATTTGCACTAATAGTCGCATTTCTTCCTTGAACTTAATTTCTTCACTGAGAGAAGATTTGAGAAGTTAATTGCATTTTTGTTTGAGCCGTTTATATTAATAAGTGAAATTGATTATCTCATTTTACTTGTACTTGGATCGAAATTATATTCTTGCAATTGAGATACTTTACAAAAAAATATTTAATCATAAAATTTTTCTATTTAATCGTTTAATTTTGTAAATAGAAAAAAAATGTTTATCTCTGAAAATATTTGAAACCAGTAAATTAATCTTACAAGAAAAAATACATTATGTTGTACACATACACTTTTTCCGCGGACTACCTCAATTTGTATTTGCGACAATGGCATTTTTTTCTCGATCTCTTTGACATTTTGTCATTTGATTTTTGACATTTTTTCTTTCACTATGAGATGCATATCGTAAGGAAAAAAGAGAATCGCGCGTTTCCGAGGTATTTGTATAAAGCAAGGAGAAGTTCAGTCTACTTATTCCCGCGCTAAAAGTGACGGCGCAATCTCTATCTTCCTGTATATTAGAAACAGAAGAGAAAGCGGAGAAACCGAAAAGCGACAGAGAGAAAGATGTAGAAGCGGTATGTCTCCGCGTGTATAAAATTTTGAGCAAACGTCTCGCACCAAATAGAGATGCGTATTTTTTGAATGGGACAAGAAAGATAGCTTTTAGCTTGCGCACGTCAAATATGTGTGTGCCACTCGATTCGTCGGTGATAGTCTGGCCTTTCGCCACCCAATTTAGTCGTACCAATCGCATTTATTATAGAAGGGTGTGTAGTCTTCGTTGCTAAGGTGAATCCGAGGCAGACTCGAAGAAGGAACAGGAGAGAGAGAGAGAGAGAAAGAAAGGGGTGAATCACATTGGAAGCCAAGGGTCGGAATCGGTATAATTTTGGTGAATTCAGTTCCCGATAGAGCAATGCCAATTGTCTGTTTTCTTTTTATTCTCATCGATAATAAAAAGATTATCTTAATGCGTCTAGAATACCAGAGGTCTCACCAAGATTTTATCGAATTCAGATCTTGATTTTGAGGATTAAGATTTTCCAAAGCTAACTTCTTCAGGTACTTAAAAAGGGAGGAAGGAAGGGGGAGAAGAAAAAAAATGATAATAAAATAAGCAACCCGCTTTACACTGGCCGTTAAGCGATAACTTAAGAGTTTTTGTATCATATGTTTGTTAAGATGTTTTTGTCACTCAACACCCTACCAGTATTTGAGGAAAAAAAAGAAAAAAAAAGAAAAAAAAACAGCGAGCGAGTGAAAGGGAGTGAAAGAGAATGTGAAAGAGGCAAAAAGGAAGCGAAGTTTGCGAGTATCGTACGTCACTTTAGTATCATAAAAACAAGCAACGTATAGTAAGAGCAAAGAGAATAACTATGATGAGAATGAGAGTGAACGAAGGGCGGAAAAAAGATGTGAGACGGAGAAGAGGGACTCTGAAGACGAGCGAACGGCCGTACACTGCAAAACGTACATTCATTAAGCTGCGTAATGTCGTTTAGCACAAATCAGTCGAAATGAGCATAACAATGAATGAAGATCGAGGACGAGTAGTGAATGGAGTATGTAAAAACACGAAGCGAAATTAATCACCAACGAACAGACGGACGGAGACCGGTACAGTCATCTCTGAAGACGACGTAGGAAAAAGAAAGAAAAAAAAAGCGCTCCTGTGTACATAACGAACGTTAAAAAAAATACGAGAGAACAATATAAACACGGTTCGCGAAGGGAACATTTCTAGATCATACACCGCTATACACTGTAAGAAAATTGTGTACTAAGTGTCTCTGGAAAGCGGAGCGCTGTGAGAAGGGCGTTTCTTCGCGATTACGAGAAGGGATGTGTTTTAGTATTTATATATGATAAAATTGGAAGGTTCTTATGTATAAGGAGCCACAAACGCCACTTTGATTAATTGATTATTTTAATTATAATATTATTTTGAGTTGAAATATTTTGGAAATATTCGTACTTTGTCCATATTTATCACTATTTATGAGAACAGCGATATG